GGCTCCTACGTGTCTGCCTTCCGCCCCGTGGTCAAGGACGCGGAGAGCATCGCCAAGCTGTACGGCAGTGCCCGCGAGGCGTACGGCGCGGGGCCTGCTCGCGGGCCGGGCCCAGGCACCGCGACCGGCGGCGGCTACGTGAGCCCGGACTTCCTGAGCGAGGGCAGCTCCAGCTACCATTCCGCCTCACCCGACGTGGACACTGCGGACGAGCCGGAGGTGGACGTGGAGTCCAACCGCTTCCCCGACGATGAAAGCGCCCAAGATGAGACCGAGCCTAGCGCGCCCAGCGGAGGAGGTGGCCCAGAGAGTGACCAGCGGATCGGGCCCCCATCTGCCGCCTCCTCGGGCGCAGACGGGCCCGCAGACTCTCCCGATGGCGGAAGCCCTCGTCCCCGGCGCCGCCTCGGGCCAGCCGCCAGCGATGGGGCTGCGTTTGGGGACTTGGCGGCCGACGACGCGGTCCGGAGACCCGAGAGGAGCCCGCCGAGCGGCGGCTACGAGCTTCGAGAGCCTTGTGGGTCTCTGGGAGGCCCCGCGACGGCCAAGGTGAGCCCCGTGCCCGGCCTTCCCGCCAGAGCCGCCTCCCCGCCTCCAGCTCCGCACCGCGGGCTTGCGGGGCAGCAGGCCTCAGCTCGAGAGTGCGGGGTGGGGTGGGGTGTGGGCCTCGAGGGAAACCCCAAATCTGAGGGGTTTGAAAGGTGTGCGAAGGGGATGGAGAGGGGACCCGCGGGAGGAGAGCGTGGGCTTTGTTTTTGTCGATGGAAATGGAGGGGAACAGGCAGACAGTCCCAGAAAAGCAGTAAGAGAAATAAAAGAGGTCTGGAGGAAGTGGGGGGACCCCCCCCTCCCGAACCAGAGAAAAGTGGTCTCCGTGCCAGGGACAGCTAATGTTCCCAAGGAACATTAACCAGTTGAGGGGGGGCGCAGCCTGTCCCCCAAGTCTGGCCCCAGGTAGTACTGCGTCCTGGTGGTCCTCACCCACCCGACCTGGCAGCCTTGCAGTCTCCCCAAACTCTGGCCTGGGGACCCATGGAGTTGCTTGCTGGGAAGCGGTCTCCGAAGTCCCGGGGTGTGGGGTGGGGTGGGGGAGGGAGTGACCCTCAGAACTGTCAGGACTGGGAATGGAAGGCTAGGCTGTGGCTTTGCCAGAATCATCCATTTTGGAATTGGATGCGCACACCTGTACATGGATTTCCATTCGGTTCATTAAAAACCCGAATCATTAACCGGATGAGAAAGGTGTCATTTCTGCCCGGAGCAGGGCTGGCAGCGGCGAGAGGGGGCAATGCAGAACACGAGGCTTGCGCGGGAAGTGGGGGGGGGGCAGCCATCAGCAGGGGGGGGGGAGCTGGGGAGCCGCTTTGTGTTCGGAGTCATTTGCTCCCGGGGTGTGCTAATAATTACCCCGAATCGACTTCCCCGTGATTCGGACACGGAGGGAGCCAGGATGCATGCGTCAACACTGCCCCGGGACACTCGCGTCCCGTGGACACGACGTCCTGGGCCAGCCCCCCCCCCTCGCTCGGCCTTTCCCGTGGCCCCTGCGGGGCTCCGGGTAGACACCAACCTCCCCACCCCACCCCCCCAATTGCCTGTCATTTCTTGGCCGCCAGCAGGTGTACGCGCCCGAGAGGGACGAGCTTGGGAAGAGCGCGACGGCGGCGCTGGGGTCCGCGGCCACCTATCTCTGCACCCCCGAGGCCCACGGTAACGCCATTGTCACCCAGGGAACTGCTGGCGGAGGGCTGAGGCCCAGGAAGGCCTTTTGAAGGAAGAGGCGCGGGAGGGGGGGAAGGTGGGGGGGAGGGGGAGAGAGAAAATACTGAAATAAAAATGATGCTAAGCGCCAACACCCAGCTCCCACGGTTTGGTTACTTAAAAGCAGTGACAACCCCCTCGGTCATCACACATGCATACGACGTCCCAACACACCTCTTACGTGTGCGGAAACCTTTTTACAACCGCGTCTGGCACCCTCTTCAAGTCCTCTCATTCAGCGAGTGTGTTGGGCCTCGGGGTCCCCTTGCGGCCATTCGGGTCTGGGTGGAACCTCGGGGCGCTCGGCTGCCCACTTGGGTACCGCACAATCGCCGGCGTAGCTGCGCCCCAACGCGCGAGTGGGAAGGGAAGCCCTGGCCTTGTGTTGGGGGCACCACATTGAGCCCAGCAGAGAGGCCTGGGGGGGGTCTCCGAAATCCAGGCACCCCGTGCCACCAGAGCTACCCCGACAAGGCCTCCTACCCCCATCCCCACCCCCGCCCCCCGTACGTCACTAAGACCTGAAGGTCAATGCCTGGGATGAGATCTCTGCGGAGTCGCGCGGACAACTAGTGGCCGCGCGTGCTAGCGGTGCCCTAGTATCTGCGCGATGTAGGTCGTTGGTCCCTGGTGGGCTCGGCTGCTCTTCAAGCTCTTTTCCGAGGGGCTGGGGCGAGGGTGGGGTGAGGACCACGCCGGGAGAGGAGCAGCCCTTGCACGCACCCGAGACTGGGGCTGGGGGCAGGGGTGGGGGTAGGGTGGGGTGGGGAGGGAGTGGCCCGACCCAAAGCCTCAGGGTGTGCGCCTGGGCGCGCAGCCGGGAACCAGCGGCGGCCACTAGGTTTCTAATTAGGATTTGGGCGTTCTAACTGCGGAAGCTATGTCGGTATCCGGGTCATGGTTTCTTTGCCTCTCCTTGAAATTCGGTTTATTGCCTTTAAGAACCTGATAAGGAAGACAATCACTCGACCACCGATGATTTGGAAACGAGGAAATCCTATTCAGACCAAAGGAGTGTCTCCCAGCCAAGCCCCACAAATACAGATCGAGGTGAGCCTTAGAATCCCCCGTTGCCTTTTCCCCCTCCCTCCTCCGCCCCCATAGGCTGCAGATGGAGACCCAGGGTTCTCTGATCTTCACAGATTTGCAAACAATTCGCTTCCTGCTTGAGTAGATACTTAAATATGTATTGCAGGGGACGTTTGTGCCAGATTTAGTCAATTGCTTTTTTCTGGATAAGGGTAGGGGGGTCATACTAAAAATAAATAAATAAATAAAAGTAAGAGGGGCTAGGTACTGGTGGCCCATGCTTGTAATCCTAACTACTTAGGAGGCTGAGATTTGAGGATCGTGATTTGAAGCCAGCTGGGGCAGGAAAGTCCATGAGACTCTGATCTGGATCCAGTTAATCACAGAAAAACCCATAAGTGGTGCTGTACCTCCCGTGGTAGCTTACAATCTTTGAGCAAAAAGATCTTAGGGACAGTGACCAGGATCAGATTTCAAGGACAGTGCCCAGGATCAGAGTTCAAGGCCCAAGACTGGACTGGAAAAAAGAAAAAGAAAATAAAGGACTTTAAATAGGTCAAAGGGCACTTTCTGTCCCAGGGGAGCCCATCTACATGGATTATACACTGTCCTATCCCCTGCCTTACTGACTTGGAAGGTGTATAGTACAGGTTTTATTGTCTCCCCTAAGCATATACTTAAAAAAAAATGACTGGAGTGTAAAACAGGTCTTCTCCAGGGTATGGTGGAAGGCAAATGGATTGGGTAAATATGGTCAGAATGCTTTATAAACATTTGTGGAAATGGAACAATGAAGCTTGTTGAGTCTGGCTTGGGAAGGAGCGAGAGAGAATCTGATTTAGGTGCATTGAGTGTATATCCTGACATGTCACAATGAAATCCTCTTGTGCAACTAATTGATGCTACTAAGAAAATATGGGGGTGCCACTATAGAGGAGGCTGGAGTATGTCTCCTTGGCACAGTGTCCAGGAAGCTCACCTCTCCTTCTCTGAAGGTCTCTCTCAGGACAGAAACCCTCTTACCTGCTCTTGTATCCCAGGCGATGATGGGCTCAACTTGGATGTCACTGGAACTCAGCTGGTGGAGAAAGATATAGAAAACCTGGCAAGAGGTGAGGTTAAATCTGTGAGATGAGGGTACATTGTGCTTGAGGATAATAGGTCCTTCCTGTAGATGGGTGCCATTTAGTGGGTGTGTGGGGAAACATGCCTGCGGAGGGGGATCCATTTTCAATTCATTGAATAGAAAGGGTAATCCTTTGAGCAATCATGGCTCATAGGTATATTAAGTCTGTGTGTAGATAGGAGTTGCAGGAAGTTTATTGGAACTTTATTGGAACTTTGCATTCCCCAGGCCCGAGTCTGTTTTGAATAATCCAGTGAGTAATGAGTCTCAGAACTTGATCTAGGTCTCAACTCCATGGAGAAGAGACTTGTTTTCTGAAGATCATGACTTCAGTGAGGCACTTATTTTAGGAATTTGGGAGAGGTTACAATCAATTTCTCTCTGGAGGGCTGGGAAGGTGGCTCAGTGGTAGAGCGCTTGCCTTGCATGCCTGAGGCCCTGGGTTTGATTCCTCAGCACCATATAAGCAAAAAGAAAAAAACCGGAAGTGGCCCTGTGGCTCAAGTGGTAGAACACTAGCCTTGAGCTGAAGAGCTGAGGGACAGCGCCCAGGCCCAGAGTTCAGGCCCACTACCGGACTCAAAAAAAAAAAAAAACAATTTCTCTCTGGAATTAATATATAGCTATTAATGCATTAACAAAGTCCGGGGCTAGTTTGTAGAATGGAACTCGCAACCCTATTAGCTGCATAACCCTCAAAGGGTAGAAGATGACCTGAAGCACTCTTTCTCACACATTCCCTCTCCCCCTCCCTCTCCCTCTCCTCCTTACCCCCCCTCCCTCTCCCCTCTACCCCCTCTCTGGTTGGTATCAGTCTGAAGCTTCATCTCGGCCTCAGCACTGTTCCTGTGCTCTGCCACGGGAGCCACAGCTCTACTCTGGCTGTTTGCTAGTTAATTGGAGAGAGAGTCTCGGGGACTTTTCTGAGAAAGTGGACTTTCCAAAGCTGAATGCTCAGATCTCATCTCCCTGAGTAGCAGGAGTACAGGTGTGAGCCACTGGAGCACAGAAAGAAGGGGATCTTGAACTCTGTTTTAAAAGAGCCTCTCCATGAGGAGGAAGGAGATAACCCAGGGCCCCGTGGTCAGGGAAAGCCTTTCTTTCCACTTCTCTGGAACTGGTTTCATGGCACAAAGCCGTGAATTGGTGCGAGAAGGAAATGGTTAGCAGTCATCCACGTTCTCTAGGCACAAATTTTTCAGAATATCCCATTACTGTGAGAATAGCTGATGCTTCATTTGGCAGTTTATGGCACTGATTTCTTTCTTTCTTTCTTTCTTTCTTTCTTTCTTTCTTTCTTTCTTTCTTTCTTTCTTTCTTTCTCTTTCTTTCTTTTTCTTTCTTTTTGTGGGTCATCCTTGAACCTCCTAACACTGTAGATAAGTTGTTAAATATGTCTATTTCTTTGAGAAGGCTGTCCATGACTTTTTTTGGGGGGGGGTCCGGTGGTGGGGCCTGAGCTCTGGGCCTGGGTGCTGTCCCTCAGCTCTTCAGCTCAAGGCTAGCGCTCTACCACTTGAGCCACAGCGCCACTTCGGCTTTTTTCTTTTTGCTTACGTGGTGCTGAGGACCTCATGCGTGCAAGGCAAGCGCTCTACCTCCGAGCCACCTTCCCAGCCCCCTGCCCATGACTTTGACCAGATTTTTCCTCATTTGTATTGAAAGGAGGGATTGGCAGTGTCATTTGAAGTGGGGGAATCAGTCTATTTGTGGACCATCTTCAAAAGTTAGGGAAATAAGAACAACTCTAAGGCAGATTTCAAAATAATTATTTCCTGGACCAAGGGCCCAGAAATCCCAAACGGGTTAGATCCACCTATTGGGATTCTCTTGGAAATCTTACCCTGTAGCACCAAGTCTTTGGTCAAATCTTTTGGAGGCAAGTGGAAGTCAGAGAATTAAAGGACTGTCCCAGAACCATTGCCTAGGGCAGAACTTCTGTGCATAATAATAGGCCCCTGGGTTATGCTCAGCCACCTCTCCTCCCGCCCTCTCTCTACAGAGGAACTGCAAAAATTGCTCTTAGAGCAAATGGAGCTCCGCAAGAAGCTCGAGCGAGAATTCCAAAGTCTCAAAGGTGCGTCCATTCTTCCCTATCCCACCTCTCCAGCGTCACCTTTGCCACGCGACCTGCTTTGGGGACCTGCGAGGTGCTGGTGGCTGCTACCTAGAGGGAACCCCAAACTCTTCTCTCCAGCGTTTCTAGCTAGGCTAGGGACTAGGTGGGAGGGAGACTGGGGTAGAGGAAAGGGGTTGGTGGAGTTGGGGAGCTGGGGGGGAGGAGGCTGTGTGTTATAGTTCTCACTTAATCAATTTGCACAGATAATTTTCAGGATCAAATGAAGAGGGAATTGGCTTATCGAGAAGAAATGGTGCAACAGCTGCAAATCGTCAGAGGTAAGACGAGAATCAGGTGAGGTGTATGCGGCCATAACCGCTTCTCCTCTGGCAGGAGCCTCAATGTTGGCTCAGTCATTTAGATTTAAATGGAAGGTAATTTAACAATTATTTTTTTTATTTAATATCCTTTGTATACTCTGATTAGCCTCCGAATGGCAAGCGAGCCCAGCAAACGGCTTGCAGGCATCATTACATGGAGTGATTGAACTTCTTATCGCGGCAATTTCCATGGTTTCTAAATTAAAAATCGAGGCGTAAAATTACCTGGGAAGTAATGCCTAAGTTTGCTTTAATTTTGGTTAGCTCCGTCTGCCTTTAAGCGCCATCCCAGGCCATTTCCTCCCTCTGCCAGCCGGCAGTTTGGTGCCTTGGTACCCCCACCCTACCTAGTCTCTGCAGCATTGTTTTCTGCTATGCTAGGGTCTGTGCAGGGGTGGGGGTGGGGAGGTGAGGTGGTGATGGTGGGGAGAGATAGGTAGTGGAGACAAAGCAGCCTGGGCTGTGACCCAAGCTACTCTTGCCGGCCAGCCAGCGGGTGATATGTTTCCTCCCTGTTTTCCAGATACCTTGTGCAATGAACTGGACCAAGAGCGGAAGGCGCGCTATGCCATCCAGCAGAAACTGAAAGGTGAGGAATCAGGAAACAAGACAGGGCGTGGCCGTGTGATTCAATGTATGAATCCATAGTGGTGTTGGTGTGGGGGAAGACCAGGAGTTACTTGGAGTAGAAACAGAGGAGAAGTGAGAACTGATTGTAATGGGTTTTTCTATAACGACAATGTAGGGAAAAAGAGCCCCTTTGAGTCCTGGGGCTTGTGAAAAGTCTGCCTTCTGATTCTACTTTGATGTTCAGCAAATGGATCTTTCATTCTCTGTGCCTCAGTTTCCTCTTCTGTCAAATGAGGCTATTGAACCAGAGCAGTGGTTCTGAATCAGCAAGGCTCTCTCCCTCTGTGTCCAGTGGGTTGAGCAAGGTCTGGGAAGGGGGCTAGAAAACTTGGTGTTCTGTGTAGGCACATAATGATGGCCAACATGGTGCCTGTGACTCTCTTCCCAGAAGCCCATGATGCCCTGCACCACTTCTCCTGCAAGATGCTGACACCTCGCCACTGTACTGGCAACTGCTCCTTCAAACCCCCGCTGATGCCCTAGGGCCGGCCTGGACACACCCAAGAGCCTTCAAGCCATGCTGCTCCTTGTAAATACCCGCTGGCCCAGCGGTCCAGAGCGAGGAACAAGCCATTGGAACCCCACTGATGTAAATACAGCGGCCTGCTTGCCATCCTCCTAGGCTCCGGCCTTGCCTGCCCCCTCCTGGGCCCACTGATTTCCCAGTGTAAATATGGCCTCGCCCCTCCACTGAAATTCTGGACATCGGACCTCAAGTGGTTAACTGGACCTAAGGGGTGGGGGTGGGGTGAGGAGGCAAGAAAGGGGAAGGGAGATCTCTCCCTACCACCTGCCAGGGTGTTCAGCCTAGGCCCAGTATTGTGAATACAACTACAACTTTGCTGGCGCCTGCTTGGGCTCCCTTCGTCTATGTCTGAAACGTGTTCCTAAAGACAAAGTGGCTATGTGCAATGGATATAAATGTACTGTGAGTCTCTTGGTTTAGTATAAAGGTTCACTCAATTTATTTATGCTGTAAATTATTTTTTTTCTTTATTCTCCTGGATTTATTTTCAGTCCTACTGAGCATTTCTCACTGGATTTTGTTTTGCTTTGTATTATTATTTTATTGTAACCTCACGATATAACAGCACTTTAAAAGGGCAACACCTGACTCACAAGATAGCTACCACCTTGAGCCTACTTGGAAAGATCATCTTGTATCCGTGACTTTTGTTTTTAATAATAAAAAAAAAATGTCACTTTCTGGGGCTGCCGAAGTGGGAATGGATGGTGGGGTTAGAGCTTGGGGAAAGGGGGCCACATTGTACCACAGGTGCAGTGCAGAAACTGCCCCATGGGTTTTGGAATCATGACAACTCAGGTAGACAGCTGTGGTGAATGGGGGTTTGGAATCCAGGCCTTAGACTTTCTGGGCAGGTGCTCTATCATCTCTCCTCAGGTCAAATAGGGGCCTGCAACCTTTCTACCAAGCACCTAGACACACCCCGTATTCCCCTCAGGCCACCCCACCCCTCTGAGTCCAGGCTGGGGAAAGGGGCCTACTTGGCCCCTGGTCCCTTCCCTCAAGCTCTAGTAGAAACTCAGACTTGTTTCTTGACCATTTCTGAGAAGGGAAAGACCCTCAGGGACTAGAAGCTTCTCTAAAGACCTGCTGGGAATTAGGGTAAGATGGGAATTTGCTCCCTGGGGCTAACCCATGGGTGCTGTGGATGGAGTGGGGATGGGGGTGGGGATGAAGTCTGTCTCCCAGGAACTTGGAAAAGACTTGGAGTTCATGCGCAGATGTCCTCCGTGGGCCCCGAAAAGACCCTGGGCCATATTTTAATATTCCCTCCATTATAGTTCAAGTGGAGTTGAGGTTGTGGAGGAACCAAGTATGGAGGCAAGGCCAGGCTAAATTGCAGTGGGAGAAGTCCCACCCTGCTTTCTCGTTTTCCACCGCATCTACTGGTGGGTCCACAGATAACCGATGTAAACTGCAGACCCCCAACCCCACCCCACCCCACCCCACGTAGGGCATAGTGTGAAGGAGCACTGTATTGAGAGTCATTCAGCCTGGGTTGGATTTCCTCATCAGCTTAGTAAAGGTCCTGCGGCCACTTCCCCCCACCCCTGCTCTTGGTTTCCAGGTCCTATAAACTGACACTCAAGCCTGTGTTTTCTGAGGCTCAGGGAAATGATCTGGAAGGTAAGCAGAGCACCCCCGGCCGCTGTCAGGACCAGCAACCATGCTCCGGAGACCCTGGAAGCCGGGATCAGGCCGGAGACCTTGGGCTGCTTGGAAAAGGAGGCTCACTATGGGCAGAGCCGGCAAGCAGGGCTGCTGTTCTGGGAGAGGAAAGGAGCTCAGCCCTGGGGTCCCGGAGCCCAATGGAAGCAGCAGGCCAGACCCACTGGGGCTCTGGACCTTCCATTGAAGCCCAGAAGGTTCTGAGGTCTAAACCTAGAAAAGAGAGAAACAATGCTGGTGAAGGGCACCAGGCAAACTGAAATTGTAACCTTTCCTTTGGTCTCCCTGTGGGGTTCCCTCGGGGAGCCCCAAATCCTCACCTGGGCCTGGCCAACCAGCAGAGCAGAGGTGCTGGAGAGGAAGTGACTTGCGCCCTGTAGCTCGGAGAGCTGGGAAGTGGTCCTGCATTGAGGGTGCTGGAAGATTGTATGTCCTTTCTCCGGAAGAGTAGGTGCACCTTGGACAGTCACACTCTGCTTCTCCAAAGAGGCCATAGCAGATAGATACCACCCCGCAGGAAGTTCGGAGACTAGAAAATAATCTTGCCCTGATAATCCTGAGACAGAGAAAAGAAAGCAGGGAGGTAGCTGTGGCAAGCCAGGAGAGGCACCTCATCTGGCTGTGGAGTGAGAAAGGAGGTTTGGGGGGTGTTGTAAACTGATCCAACCCAGAAGGTGTCCTTGCAAAAAACAAAACAAAACACAAAAACCCTCAAAACAACACAAAAAGCAAAATAACCCTCCTGGGCTCCTTGTCCCTTCAAAAGTGGTTTATTCTCCCCAAAATGTTAATAACGAAATGATTGGTATGGATGTAATTATCAATAATTATGCGATTATTGCTGATTGCGGGGCTCGTAGCTACTTTAATTAGTTTACCAGATTCTAATTAACTTAAATGAAACATTAATAGGGAAAATATGCTTAAACACACACACACACACCAGATTTCTTTTTTTAAGTCTTGTTTCTCGCCACAAGGTTGCCACCTTGTGACAGATTTTAGATATTACAGTCAACCCAAGGCTGAAACTGCAGCCAACATCAACTGCAGCCAACCCAACAAAGGCATTACCTTGGGGCTTGAAAAACTGAAGGGTAATGGTGGGTGGGGGTGGGTTCCCAGCATGTTTACTTTGGGATTCCTCTTCCCAGAGGTGCCTACATGAAGTTTAGCTCTACATCAAGATCTGGAGGTAGAAGTTCCTGTAAACCCATCACTTCTGCCTCCCACTGCCTTTTCCCCCCACAAGATTCAGCCCCCTCTCCAGAGTGGTATGGTAGAGATGGTCTTTGTCCTCCAACTGTCCAGCAAATCCAGGGAGAGATACTGAGTATAGTTGGAGACACTAAGGACCATAGTTCAAATTTCATTCCCTGAAGAAAAACTAGTAAGTGGCATCCCACCCCCATTGACAACTTGTTGGAAAAAGCACTCAGCCCAGGAGACCTCAAAGCACACTTGGCCTTGCTTTGTTATTCTCGGTTATATGGGTTCATTGCTATAAACTGGGCAGTAAGCACCCCAGGATGAAGTTCCTTCCCTGGTCTTTCTTGTGACCTCTGATACAAAGGCACACAATAAATGTCCAAATGAAAAGAAAAATGCAATTTGGTGGTCCATCTGGCTCCTGGAAAAATCTGAGAGAAGAAATCACTAGGTGCTTCTGGACAACAGCCACTCAAAACAATTAAGCTCATTTGCATAAGGTTAATTAAACACAAACTTACTGCTTAGAAAGATCCTTCATGAATAGGATTAGATTTGGGGGTACATGTCAAGTTGCTATCAATTAGAATAGGGAAATTTCTTCTTATTCCAACTGGGTCCCAAACAAAGGAGGATCCATTAAGTTCTTCAGAATTTGCAAGGCCCCAGGCCACATACCTGTCCACTTATTCCCAGTTCTTCTGCTGTTAATGTAGCCTTGATCCTTGGTGGAAATGCAAATTCTACCTTGAATTTAGAATAGAACAAAGGTAGATGTAGATCTGTATGCTCTTTCCACTTGTTATAAACAGCCTCACCCTTCTCCCTGCAGAGGTAGCACAATGCTTAGTTAAGTGGCACACGCCTGTAATCCCAGCTCCTCAGAAGGTTGAGATCTGAGGATTGAGATTTGGAGCCATTTGGGGCAGGGAAGCCTCTCACCTTTAATAGACTGCCAAAAATCCAGCCGAGCTCTGGCTCAACTGGTAGAACACTAGCCTTGAAGGAAAAAGATAATAAGCTCATAAGGGACAGCTCCTGGGGCTTGAGTTCAAGCCCCAGGACTGGCATAAACGAACAAAAAGAGTGCAAATTCTGTAGTTGTGTGATACTGACTGAGCAAATTGCTGACGTTCTGGGCTTCAGCTACTTTATCTATAACTTGGAGGAAATGATAGCACCAATCAGTAAACTTTAATTTTCCAAGTCTTCTCCAAAAGAATTGTCAGACAATGCATTTGCCACAAATAAACTCCCTGCTTGAGTTGTGAGGAAGTAACCAAGGGCTGTATAAGCTTACTTGTTTGTTTATGTTTGTGCTGGGGCTTGAATTCAGGGCCTAGAGGTCTTGCTTAATTTTTCTGTTGAAAACTGTCATTCTATCACTTGATTCACACCTCTACTTCTGGCTTTTTTTCTGGTTTAATGTAGATAAGAGTCTCACAGGGTTTTCAGCCTGGAATAACTTGGAATCTGTATCCTCAGATTTCAGTCTCCTGAGTATGATTACAAGCAAGAGCCACCAATGTCTGGCTGTAGTAGTTGTCTTCACCATCAAGCATTCCTCTTTACAAGGAGAGCAGAAGCAATAAGAAAGGATAGGGTTCCGGCTGGGAAGTTGGCTCAGTGGTAGACTGCTTGCCTTGCATGCATGAGGCCCTGGGTTCGATTCCTCAGTACCACATAAGCAAAAAGAAAAAAGCCAGAAGTGGCACTGTGGCTCAAGTGGTAGAGCGCTATCCTTGAGCTGAAGAGCTGAGGGACAGCGCCCAGGCCCAGAGTTCAGGCCCTACGACCGGACCCCCCCCAAAAAAAAGGATAGGGTCCTCTTCCATCATTTTCTGACTCATGGTGTTTTCATAGTACAGAATTTATTCAAGTGGCAGATATTAACAACACCCAACTCAATCTCCAGGAATAATGTGAAATTCTGACCCCATGCTTGAGAGGAAACACTTTCAGTATTCTCTAATGGAACTTTTTCCTGTTCTCTTTGATAATAATTGTACTTGTGAATGTAGAAACTTTAAATTCTTCTTTGTGAACTTTAAGACTGCTGTGAAAGGTGTACCTTCAGGAA